AGGCACCAAGTGACGAGCAGAGGGAGCGCAGCCCGATGCAGCCATTGAGGGTGGCAGAGGACAGAGAGGGAGAGGGAGGGAGTGGCGGGGCGGCGGGAAGGAGGGGCGGCCGGCCCACGCACCATCTTGTTGCCGCCGCGCACAAAGATGGTGACGGCGCGCGAGTGGGGCGTGCCCTCAATCAGCAGCATGCGGTCGCGGGTGGTGCCAAAGCTGATCTCCCGCACGCTCTTGGCGTAGCCCAGCTTGGAGGCGTTGAGCTCCTGCGGGGCAGACGCAGGGCAGGCGGTGAGGGGGCAGGGGGGACGGCAGCTCAGGCAGGCGGTGAGGGGGCAGGGGAGCACACGACGCGGCGCGACCAGCAGCCCGCAGGCCCAGCACCAGCCGGCATGGCCAGCGCCAGGCAGGTGCAGCGCCTTTGCCCGCCATCCCACTGCCTCCCCATGCAACCATGCCAACTCCCAACCATCCCACTGCCAACCATGCACCCACCCCACCCCACACCACACCGCCCCACACAACACCACACCACACCACGCCCCGCCCACGCGCACTCTGTCCCCGCAGCCTCAGCCTGCCCACCTGGAACCGCGGCACGATGCGCGCCCCCGTGGCCAGCGCCAGCAGCTCAATCTCCACCCCACCCACCCAGCGCACCGCGGGCAGGTCGTTGTGCATAAGGAGGTGGTTGGCCTCATCGTCAAAGCCTGGAGGAAAGCGCGGGGCAGGCGGGAGACGCAGCGGGGCGGTGGCGGCACGGCGGGCGGGGGTACCCCTGCGTGAGCAGGCACACGCAGCGGCCCAGCCCCCATGCTGCCAGCATCCTGCAGCGGCTCGCGGTGACGCCACCAGCAGCGGCAGCGGCTGCGCCGCTTCGGCGGCGGCCGTGCCCCGCGGCGCACCCCACTGGCAGATGATGAGCGTGGCGCCGCTATCCTTGCACAGCTTCACCATCTCCCGGAAGTACTCCTGCTCCTGCTGGCGCAGCGACTCAAACTGCTCCACATTCGAGATGTCCACCTGGCGCCAGGTGGGCGGGGAGGAACGCGGGGTAGGGCAGCAGGGAGGGAGGCAGGCGAGGGGAGGGAGGCAGGGAGGAATGGTCGACGCCTCAGAGTGCACCTCAGCAGAAGGCAGGCGGGCAGGCTGCCCAGAGGCCCCGCCCTGCCAGCCGGCGCGCCGCCCCGTAGCCAGCTGCCCACCCCTGCTCTGCGTGTCCCTAGGCATGCCAGCCAGCCAGCCTGCAGCTGTGCAGCCCACCCCACCTTGTGCTTGGTCTTGGGCTTGGGCGGCTCAAAGGGGCAGGTCAGGATGGCGATCTTCACATCCTCCAGCTCCTTGGGCATCTGCAGGCGGCAGGCAGGCAGGCGTGGCAGGCAGGCAGGCAGGCCACGCCACACAGACCAGCAGCTCAGTGCCGCCTCCGGCACGCAGGGAGAGCGGGGTTCAGCGGCGCGAGTTCGCCAAACATCCCAGGGCACCGGAGCAGCAGGCCCGGGGTACACTTTCACAACAGCTGCTCCTGAGAAGTGGCCCAGGAGGGTACACAAGCACAAACATGGGCACACACACACACGCAACAGGCAGCAGGCTGCGTCACCTGCGGGTGGCTCATGTCTTTGTCCAGCACAATCCCGTTCACCAGCGCCGTGTCCTCCAGCCGCCCCCCAACCTTGCCGTCCAGCTGCAGCGCGGCGGCGGGGCAGCGTGGGGCGAGCAAGCGCGGCAGCGGGGCGAAGGAGCGGCTGGGCACTTTGCAGGCAGGGCAGCGGGCGATGCCGCAGCGCGGGGCAAGGCAGGCAGGGCAGCGGTCGCGCGCCGGGGGCCGAGCAGGATCAATGCAGGCGGCACATGCAGCACAACCAGCAGTACCATAGCGGTACAGCGGTACCTTGATGAGGTCCAGGTTCACGTCCCGCCGCTCCAGGTCCCCAACAGACATCACCGCGCTGACGCACATCTCAGCAAGCTCCCGCTTGTGCCGCCCCACGCTGCACGAGGCGGGGGCACACACAGCGCGGCCGGTGCCGGATAGGATCAGCAGGGGGGCCAGCCATTTGCCCGGCACCGCGTGCGCCTGCGGCTGCGCCCATTGCCTGCTGCGCGCGCTGCGCGCCGCACGCTGCTGCGCCCCAGCCAAGTGGAAGGCAGATCGAGATGCGCACCCTGCCACCCACTTCACACCCCACATGCACGCGCACGCAACAGGGGAGGGCAGGCAGGGGCACACAGGCGAGGCCCCCAGCTCACATCTTGGAGGACAGGGTGGTCATACACGTCTTCACCAGCTCCTCGTGGTTGTCGGCGCTGTAAGGAAAGGTGGCCGCAATCTCGTCCAGCCGCTGCAGGCACCGGGCCGGGGCGGACAGCCAGACAACAGCACAAGGGAGCTTCAGCGGCGGGGACGGGCAGCCTGGGTGCATGGCCGAGGGTGGGGAGAACCGGGCGCGCAGCCGCGCGCTGCTGGCAGCCGCAGCGGCGGTGGCCCCGCCGACTGATTTCCAGGCGCGCCTGGCAGCCTTCTGCGCGCCCACGCCCACCTTGAGCGCCACCTTGCAGGCCATCTCGTAGCCCTCTGCGATGCGCAGCGGGTGGATGCCTCGGTCCAACAGGTCCTCAGCCTGCTCCAGCAGCGCACCCGCCAGCACCTGCGCCGGCGCAGCAAGGGGCGGCCGGAGGCGAGAGGCGGCGAGCGGGTGGTGGGAGCGCCGAGGCGGCGGCGCCCGGGCGGCTGCACGCCCCTCCAACGGGCGCTGCCGGGCGCCGGGGCATGCGCGGCAGGCGACGCAAGGGCAAGGCGGGAGCTGGTGCCAGGCTGCCACCCCGCACCGTGACGCCGGTGGTGCCGTCACCGATCTCGTGGTCTTGAGATTTGCTCAGCTCCACCAGCAGCTTGCCTATCTGGTTCTCCACCTCCATCTGCTCCAGGATGGTGGCTCCATCGTTGGCTGCACCCAGCAGCAGGCGGCAAGCGGTCGGCGGGGCGGCGGCAGGTGGCCGACGGTGGGCGCTGGGCGGGCAGGCGCGCCCACTCACTGATCACAATGTCGCCGTCCGGCCCCTGCAGGAGCTTGTCCATGCCCTTGGGCCCCAGCGACGTGCGCAGAATCCTGGAGACCGCCTTGGCCGCCTGGATGTTGCTTTTCACGGCCTCAATTCCCTTGACCCGCGACTTGGTCTCTTGCTCCTGCAGGCAGGGGCGCCGCGGCGATTGGAAGGCCGAGCAGAGGCGCTGGGCGCCGATCAAAAGCCGATCAGAAGGCCATGCAGCGCATACAGCGGCGCTGACACGGCACAGAGCCCTGTGACCCACCCTGATAATAATGAAGGGCCTGCCGAACTCGTCGAACGCCAGCGACATGGCGGTTCACCTCCAAGCCTGCCCACGCTCTTCTAGAAGCCACTGTCGTGCAAATTGGGTGCAAAGACAATGGCAGGCGCCTCAAAGAGCGTCAAGACATCAGTCCATGGCCGTGCCAGCTCGGCCTCGCCTCATGGCCGCAGAAACCCACAAGCCCCGCCCTCATCGCGCCTGCCACTTTAGCCATCGGTGTCTCAGCACTTCCCCAAGCCGCGCAGCAGGTCCCTCCGCTACTTGCTAGGCGTGGAACTTCCCACCTCCCTGCCTCAGCAGCCCACCCAGGCCAGCCGCCCCGCCCACAGGTGATTCTGATGCCGCACTGGCTTCGTGCAGGCCCCCCTGCCCTGGCCACAGCAGTCGATCACCCCAGGACTGGCGCTGCCCGCTGTAACCCTTCACAACCAGCGCCTGCGGACCAATATCGGGCATCCGCCCCTGTCGGGGTGCTCCCGGCTGCGTCTTGTGGGCAGCGCCGATGTCAATCAGTGCTCACTCCACCCCCGGCGGCTCTCCCTGGCGCAGGATGGACCGCTACCAACGAGTGCCAGTGCCTCGGGAGCCGGAGGAGCACGCCGAGAATGAGGTGGGGCGGGCGGCGGCAGGGCGGGGCGGCAGCGGGAACACCGCCGGCCCGGCCCGCACGGCAGCCAGCAGCCAGCTGTGGTGTGGGGCAGGACGTGGCAACAGCCAGCGCAGCGGCCGTCGCCTGGCTGCCTCCACATATCACCTGGCCGCCGCCGCCGCCGCCGCCGGTTGCAGGTGCGCATCACGTCGCAGGGCAAGAGCCGCAGCTACATCTCCTATGGCACCACCCTGCTGTCGGAGAAGGGCCACTCCTCGGTGGTGCTCAAGGCCATGGGCAAGGCCATCAACAAGACTGTCACCATAGGTGGGCGGCAGCAGCAGGGCAGGGGGCGGACTGGGGTGTGGTGCCCTGCTTCCACCCTTGACCCGTGACCATATTCATAGCAGCGCCGGCCAGCTCCAGCTGCAGCAGCCGCAGCGGAAGGCGCCCAGCGCCGAGCGGCAGGCATCCGTACAGCCTGGCTGCCAGCCCCACCGGCCCTCTATCCATGCCTTCTATCCACGCGCCGCCGCCACCACCATCGCCGCCGCCACGCCCCACCCCCGCCGCCGCGGCGTGCAGCCGAGATCACGAAGCGGCGCATCGCGGGGCTGCACCAGGTCACCGCCATCAGCAGCGTGGAGCTGCAGGACAGGTGGGAGCCCAAGGAGGAGGGGCTGGATCCCATTGAGACCACCCGTCATGTGTCCGTCATCACCATCACACTCTCCAAGGTGCGCCCGCCTGCGCCCTGCCAGCGGTTTGCTGCCTGCCGACACCCCGGCGCGGCCGCCTGGCGAGAAGCAGCTGCTGCACGGCCGCGGCGCAGGCGCTGGCTTGCTGGCGCTGGCGCCCCGCTCCTGCCGCTGCTGACGCTGCGAAACCCCGCGGGGCGGTCTGCACGGCGGCGGCGGCGGGAGGGAGCGCGTCGTTGGGAGGGGGCTGGGCGGGCAGGCCTTCCACCCGATGGCAGCCCGTTTTCTGCCTCCCCAGCTCCAGCCGCCCCTCCCCTGCTCCCTGCCTGCCTGCTTCCCTGTGCTGGCGCAGGAGCCGCTGGATGCCGNCTCCACGGGCTACCAGGCGCCGCTGCCGGAGAGCGAGGTGCGGCCGCTCCAGGATGAGGAGCACCTGGCGGGGGAGGCGGACGGCGAGGGGGAGGAGGGGGGCTACCACCGGCGTGGGCGAGGCGGGCGCGGCAGGTGGGCCGCCGGGCGTGATGCCGGCAGCTGCCTTAGGTTCTATCAGACATTATCAGAAAGAAAGAACCGATCTCCATCGTCAGTTTCAAGCTATCGCCGGCCCGTCTTGCTGGCGCGGGTGTTGTGGTGCCCGCTGGATGCGATGCGCATGCCTGCTGAACAGGCCGCTTGGGTTGGTGGGCGGGTACGGCAGCATGCCGGGCTGGCAGCGGCGGGAGGGCAGACCGCAGCACCAGCTGACTTGCCGTTGCGCTGTGTGTGCCTGCTCGGTGGTGCAGGGGCCGCGGCCGCCGCGCGCCGCCCCGCACAGGCGACCCCGCCGCCGATGCTGCTGCGGCGGAAGGTTACGAGAATGGCGGGCGTGGCAGGGGCAGGGGCAGGGGCAGAGGCAGGGGGCGGGGGCGTGGAGGCCGCGGCCGGGGCCGAGGCGAGGATTCAGCGCCGCCGGCAGAGGGCGGCGCCGCGGCGCCGCCGGCTGCCGCGCCCGCAGCAGCAGCCCCTGCCGCCGCCGACGGCGCCGCGGCATGAGGGCGCACCCTAGGGCAGCCGTGCTGGCTGCCACATGAGTGCATCGGGGCAGCGCAGCTTGCGCCGCCAGCGCTCAAATCGCCTCGTGGCGCTGTCTGCCGTCCCCGGGCGCAGTGCATCGATCTTCCGGCCAGGCCCAGCAGACTGCCGTGCATTGCGCTGGGGCCGCGGCGGCGAGCGCCTCGGCCCGCCCACCCGCTGCATTGGCGGGGCAGTGTTGGTGGCATGGCCGCCACGGTACTGATCAGCAGCTGACACACCTACATCATCGGAGCGTTTCCTTTTCTTTTCTGCTTTTGCGCAATTGTCCGCAGCAAGCACTTGCCATCTTTGGACCCTGCACTGCACTGCACTGCACCCGTGACTGTCCTCCTGCATTCAACTGTCTTTCGCCCTCTCTGAGGGCAGATGCATTTGCACTTGCAAATAGGCAGCGATCGTGTGACTCTCCATGAATCGCGGGGGAAGAAGCGGTACGGGAGGAAGCGTTACTGGAGGAAGCGGCAGGTGGAAAGCACGGCAGGACGAGCCAGTTCTCCAGCAGGATGCATAGGTATCAGTGCGTGCAAGTGGGAGTGCTGATGAGTGCCAACACACACATGCTGCAGACGCAGATCAGTAGCTGCGCAGCTGGGTAGGCGGCTGGTAGGCCACGAGGCAGCCGTCCAGCTCAGCGCGTGGCGGCGACCAGACTGACTGACCACACGAGCGCGATCAGCAGCCACCACGCAAAGCCGCGCTCCCAGCCCTGCAGGCGCAGCTTCCGCCGCGGCTGGCTGCCGCCGCTCTCCTGCTGCTCCTCCTCTTCCAGAAACAGCAGCTCCACATCATCCTGCTCGGGGGCCGCCGCCGCCAGCCAGCTGCGGCCGCACAGCTGGCGCACCGCGCCCTCCACCGCCGTTTCCACCGCCGCCAGCGCGCGCAGCAGCCGCCAGCGGTGCCCACTGCCGCCGCTGCCGCCGCCGCCCTCCTCCCACTGCCGCAGCGACGTGGGTGGCTCCGTCTTCACCAGCACCTGCACCGCACGGTGCGCCCAAAAGCCGGCCCATATCAGCTTGGACTGCGGTGCACAGGTGCCGCACACTTGTGCGTCACAGAGAGGGCTCGCAGAGATGCGGCGAAAACGTGCCGTGCAGGCAGGGATACTCCTGGATACCAGCAGGCCCTCAGGCAGGAGGCTGCCGCCGCCTCACCAGCATGGGCAGCGCCAGGCCTGCCATGAAGGAGACGCAGGTGAGGAAGCTCTCGCACTCGGCCACCCGAACATCCCGGCTGCGCTGCAGCAGCGGGAACATGCTCTGCCCCACGCCCCCTGCACGCCGGCCAGGCACGCGTGCGCAGCGTGGGGCGACAGGCGGGCGGGTGAGCGGCAGGCGGGCGAGGCAGGCCTGGCGCAGCGGCGGGCCAGCCAGGCGGCAAGGGGCGGCGGGGGAGTGCGCCTCGGAGCCGCAGCGGCGGCCGCGGCCGCAGCCGTGCTCACCGGGCAGGGCCATGGCGGCCAGCTGCATGGCGGTGTGGAAAGCGTGGATGCGCGCCGTGGTGGTGGGGTGGCGCAGCAGCGGCGCCGCGCACAGCGAGTGGTTGGACCGCACCATGGCGCACGAGTAGATTTGCAGCAGCATGTGTGGCACCAAGGGCAGCAGCGGCAGCGGGTTGAGCATGGTGGCGGTGATGACGGCCACCAGGCGGCTGCCCCACACCACTTTGAAGGTGTCGCGCAGGATGCCGCGCAGCCCGGGCTCGGGGTCGGCGTCCAACACACGCTGGATGCCTGCAGGGGGCAGCGGAATGAGCGCGCTTTGGGTACAACCAGCGAGCGAGCAGAGTGGGCGGCGGGGGAGCAGACCCGGTGGTTCTAAAACAAGAGATCAGATGATGATGAAAGATCAAGAATTGGGAGGTGTCCCTAACTACTTGTGTGGCCAGATGGCCCTGCCCAGGGGTTGTGTAGCGGAGCGAGAGCGGCGGGGAGGGCCGGAGCGGCCCGCGTTGGCGTGCGCACCTCGTGCCTTGCGCAGCAGCGGGAAGGCGAAGAAGACGAGGCGGTAGACGGTCAACGACTCCTTGCGCCAGCGCAGGTAGAAGCGTGGCGCCAGGCTGGGCAGCAGCCACATGCCGCCGGCCACCACGCAGGACAGCACGCGCTGGAAGCGCTCGCTGCCGGGCAGCGTGCTCCAGGCCAGCAGCGACATGACTTGGGTGGCGGAGTGCAGCAGGAAGCCCACGAAGTTGAGCAGGCGGTCAAAGGCGCACTCCCGGTAGGCCGCCGACCACGACGAGGCTGCTGCAAGGGCGGGCGGCAGGAGGCGGGCGGCGGCCTGGCGTCGGGAGCTGCTGTGAGGCGTGTGGGGCGCGGCCACGGACTGACAACCGCGGCAGGAGCCCGGCAGGCGCTGCAATGATTCCAGGGAGCATGGGCGTCAATGCTTTCACAGCATGCAGCAGCCAAGCAAGGCGCACCTGGGCGTGCCGACGGGGGCCGGCGAGGGGTGGCGCCGCCTCCCGCCCGGCTGGCGGCGCCCTCCCCCTGTGTCGCTGCGGTGCGCCTGCGCAGCTGGGAAGCTGCCGCCGTGCCACCGCTCATCTTGCTGCAGCACCACCGCCTGGCAGCAGGAAACTGCAGTGAGCAGGGTTGGGCGGTGCCTGCGCAGCACTAGTGGCCCCTGAAAGTCGGAGGGGTACGCTGGAACGCGTCCCTGAGCGGGGGCGGTGAAGACGATGAGGAGAACAAACAAGTGACTGGTGCTTAGGCGAGCGTACTGGTGTGCTCGCCTCTCGTGGCTTTTCCTGCCTTCCGATGCCTGGGCAACGATGTGCACGAGCACCATATGCCTGCCTGTAAGCCCTTGATGATGAGGCAATGGGAGAACGGTGAGGGCCTCAGGGAAGCAGCAGGCACAGAGGGCCACTGCATGAACGTCAAATCGTCAACCCCATTCCCAATGCACGTCTTTGATGTGGTGCTGCTTTAGTACATCCCCACAGGGATGCAATTGACCTAATGGGATGCAGGTGGGAGGATACAGCGGAGCAACAGTGTCGGGATCGGTGCCACCGCGGCGGTCAATGCTGTGCTGCTCATGTCATCAGGAGCGGGCAATCATTTGCTTAAGCGGCCATGCTGCTGCATGCATGAATGAGAAATTCCAGGGCATCTCAAACTCGCTCAGTCGAAGGTCGCCCAGCCGGCCTCTGTTGCCGGCGCCGCTGCTGCTCCGGTGCCAGCCGGTGGCGGCACGCCGCTGCCGCCGCCGCTGGGCGGCCCCCAGCCTAACAGGTCGCCAGCAGGCGCGGCTGCTGCTTGCTGCTGCCCAGGGGCGCTGGGTGCTGCAGCGGCGGCCTGCCCCGGCGGCGGCGCCAGGGGCGCCAGCCTGCCCGCGGTGCCACTGGCGCCCGCCGCCGGCGGGTGGCCTAGGCGGGACAGGAAGCTGTCGCCGTCCCCCGCTGCACCCTCCTTCTTCTTCATTGTGATCCTGCACACGCACCACGGGGAGCAGCACAGTCGAGGTGGGTGCTGCAGGCGCCTGCCAGCTGCGAGGCAGATTGCGCGCATGTGGGTCTGGCAGGCTGCTAGGCACCGGCTCGGCACGGCAATGAGCAGCTGCCCAAGCTCCAGCCGCTCGGTCCCACCCGCCACCCCCCCAGCCACCCCCACCCGCCGCACTTGATCGTCTCGCCCTCCCGCAGGCTCAGGTCGGCCACCGGGCGGTACAGCGCCGCCGCCTCGGGCATGAGGTCTGCCGCCGCCGCCAGAGGGTCGGCCGCGCCCCTGATGGCCGCCATCTCCGCCGCCCGCCGCTGCTGCCGCTCGTGGTCGCCGATGGCGACGTTGAAGTCAAAGGCGGCGGAGCGCTCGCCGAACGACACCCCCACAAACGCGTGCCGCCGGCTGTCGGCGTCCTCCAGGCGCAGCACAAAGTTGCGGCTGGAGTCGGAGGCCTGCTCCACCACGGTGTGCGCCTGGCCCGCGGGCACCGGCGCCACGCCAAAGAGCTCGCCGCTGCGATGTGGGTGGGGTGGGGGTGGGGTGCAGGGTGCAGGGGCAGGTGGGGAATGTGCAGCGCATGGCTGGCGGCACCGCATGTGCACCACGCTGCTCCCATCTGGCCTGCACCCAGCACCCAGCACCTGCGTCTGCCTCGTGCGCCCTTCCCCCGGCAGCAGCCGCCCCGGCATGCCAGCAACAGCCCTCGCAGCAGCAGCCCTGGCGGCGGGTGGTGCTGCGCGCCGACTCACGTCTGCGGGTCCTCCAGGCGCACCTCCAGCTTCTCCCCCACCGCCACCACCCGCACCCGCCCCGTGAAGATCTTGTCGGCCACCCGCCACTCCCCGCTGCGCCACCCGCCCGCGCCCGTCCTGGGCGGGATGCGGAAGACGTCGAGCTCGCGGTGCACAAACAGCACGTGCTCCAGCGCCATGGCCGCCGCGCCTGGATGGGCGCTCTGGGGCGTGTGCTGTGCGGCCTGGTGCACCACCTGCATGCATGCCGATAGCTTTCCTGTGTGAATCACCAGCCCGAGAAACCAGCAGTGTCAACCGCGGGTGCGGCGGCGGCGGGTGGCCGGTGAGAATGCAGCGGCCGGTCAAACCGGCTGTAGCAACCGCTGCGGCCCCGGCACGGCGTAGTTCTTGCCTGCTTGCAGCTCGTGGGCGCAGAGCGGAACCAGGCCCTCTTCTTCGGTTCTGCTTGGATCAGTCGGCCCAGCAACCGTTGCTGGGCAGCTGCCGGGATCGGAGACCGCTGCTGTTATGGAAATAGCAGCTTGCAGGGCCAGAATAGGGGACCGGTCTGGGTTTGGACGGCTGCTGATGTCAGCTTTGGGATGAAGGCTTTCGGCAGCGAGCCCAACCACAGGTGGCTCAAGGGCAATCCCAGGGGAATGCAAGCTGGCGGCTGGCAGCCTATAACGAGCGTGCAGCAGTTCTTCACACTCACCGAGGGCAGCCCATTCGCTGTCGTGTATCTGACCGCACCTTGGTGAGGCAATGTGGCTGGGCAGCCAGAGATGGGACCCGCTGGTGGGAGATGGCCCCAGCGATCACTTGCCGTCGGCGCCGCCAGCCGCAGCTGCCAGCTGCTGCCAATGGCCTCGCTCCAGTGCAATGTTGCTTGGCATGGGCACAGACTCCACTGCACTCACCTCCCTGCATCCCAGAGCAGTCGCCGACCCTGCCGCTCATGTG